TTTTTCGATCCTCATCTCACTCAAACAAATATATGCCAGTTTTTAAATTTTTATATCACCCTAAATCAAACATACTGTTATTCTTTGCATCATATTCTCACTATAAATTCATTTCAATTAAAATAACTATTTTACCATAACTATTGAAAAAATTAACATAAATACTGTATGTGGAGTGATGTTTCTATAATTACGGAGCAAACCTATCTAATTAATTCCTTAGTGTACACACACATGAACTAACTCTAAGTAGAAATAGTACTAAACTCTTGCTGTAATCTTTTTTGAAAATTCAGCCCACTAAAACTAACTTTTGTAATGTTAATTTTGTATTCTATTTCTCAAAACATGCCCTCTGCAAGACTGTTATCAAAATATTTTACCTCTGAACCATTTTATATACATGCCTTCTCAGCGAAACAAAAACCAACCATGAATCAAGATTGTTTAATACATGTATAAGTTAAAATTTGTATTTAAGCATTGCTTGTTGCTAAACATTAAATACAAATTTTAACTATACAACTAATTAATTTTCACCCTCACAGAGACAGAAACAGAGCTTCTCTTAGCTGTGGATTTAGTTAGCTTAACCATTTCTTTAACATTCAATCAAAAGTAGTTCTTTATCCTTAACATGAAACATCTAAAATCATTCAGTATAGAAAAGTTACTTTTTTTTGTTTGTATAAGGCTATAAGCTAATAAAATAATAGGTTTACACATCATTCACACATAAGATGATATTTTTCATATTGCAGACTGAGAATGAAAAAGAGGATGAGAAGAGGTAGAAGGATTGATTTGTATTCATTTGGAAAGTGTTTGCTGGGTAGTAGTAGTAGTTATAGAAAAATGAATGATCTTTTTATAACGAAAGTGCACATGTCCAGAACAGGTTTGCGAGAATTGATCGGCTAAACATACACTTGTCCCAATGAACCGCTTCCCGAGATTTTATTGTCTGAAAATACACTCGTCCCAATCAATATGCTTGCTAGATTTGATGAGCTGTATTTTTTACAAATTAAATTATACTTCTATTTTATGTTTATTTTGTACACATTCTTCAAGAAGCAGACTGTTGGGACTTGATTGGGTTGTTTATAGTCTGTTCGTTGATTAACTTTCATCATTGTTTCTACTGCACATGTTGTCTTTATTTTTTATTTTAATTCTGTGTAATAAAATTCTCCATTGTAGCTGATATTGTTTTTAGTTAGTATACAATGTTCTGTTCAACATTTCTACTTTTGAGGCTTTGATTTGGTGGATTCGCATGCTACTCTATACAGTGGGGATGTTTGGGCGGGAAAACTGTTCACAAAACGTTTTGCTTTTATGTAATGATGATGATGATGATAGATTGCATAGGAAAAGAATATTTTATTGCTGGTGGAATACAGAGTTGTTAGCTTGAAAAAAGTGAACATTTTAAGTTCAATTTTCATCTCTCAATTGGAAGTTTGATCTATTTTCATCTCTCAATTATTTGGTAGAGATAATAGGATGGATTTTGAAAAGCTTAAATTATGTATTTGGAAGCAACTAAATAGCTATGTGTAGTTAGTCTCTTGCCATTCTCAGAACACCTCCCACTTCTCAGTTATTTAAAGCAAAAAGTGACTACAATCTAACACAAGTTATAAAAATCTGATAGATATTTTGACAAAAAAATCGAGGACTCTCGAGTAAATTGACTGAAGAGGGAGTTACTCCCTCTTCAGTCAGTTTTGGCAGGAGAATTTGTAATGCAAATTGCATTACTATAGATAGATATATAGATTTTCATCTCTGTATATGTTCTAATATAGGGTTCTTTTCTATTTGGCTTGTTAGTGTAGAAGATATCTAGATATGATAGCAGCTATTTCATGGATTCCTAAAGGGGCTGCGAAATCAGTCCCAGCTGCAGCTGAGCCTCCTTCGAAAGAGGAAATTGAAGAGATTCTCAAGAGTGGCATTATTCCAAAAGGGTAATCAGTATACTCTTCTTTATTCCTAAATGTGATTTGCTGATTTTATTTACTTGAACATCTGAACTATCCTGAAGTATTTAAATTCTAAAAGAGTAATGTAATTAAGTCTGTTTTTATAAGGTTGTACTGCCTCCGTCCCACTATGTTTGGATCAATTTGGTTTACGATGCTTGACCGACGATAAAGCAAACAGATCCCTGTCCCTGTCCGCACTGAAGTTATGTTTAGGAAAAAAAGTTACATATTCAGAAACTACAAAAACCAGAATCAAATTTGATAAAAATTTGATATATAAAATAAAAGATTAAGAGTGATTTGTGTTGACCATTTTAAAAATGTCTGGGTTTCATTTAAATGTGAAAAGTTGATATAATGATTGTGGTGAGTAGGATAAGAGATGAAAACATTTGCGTTAAATGCTAAGTGTTAAAGGTCTCTCATCTAACTATCTAAGTGTATTGGCTTGTGGCAGTTCAAAGCTGTGATTCTTTGAAGAACCCGCTAAGTTTTTTTTCCTGATTAATGCGTATAGTACTATAGTTAAAGTACAATAGATTTTGGTGGTTGTATTTCATGTTTTCCAACAACCTTGTTCAGAATTCATGCGCTTGTCAGAAACAGTGCACATGTAGAAGAAATCAAGTTACAGATGTGTTATTGATGAGATAAAGTACTGTTGGAATGCTTACAAAAGCTATTCAAATTTGGCTGTTTCTTTTCGTGCCCTCTTTCTGTTTTTCTTTATCCATAAATGATCTTTCTAAAATACATCAGCGATGAAGCTGAAAATGGAGAAGACAATGAAGAAGACATTGATGAAGAAATGAGCATTGGTGCATCTGGATATGACAAAAATGAAGAAGAAAATGACGACCCAAAAGCCAGTGCTGCTAATATAACTGAAGCTATGAAGGAATTGGACATGGAAAATTATGATGATGAGGAAGAAGGTATCTCTGACTGCACTGGCTCACATACAGACATGTGTGTGTGCGTTTTATATCATTTTTGTGACTATATAACTCATTCAGAATGTGATTTTCATTTTTTAAGCTTTTCACAGGGAAATTTCTTTCTGAATTGTGATTTGCCTCACTTTTTTGTACCATTTTCTTCATTGCTTTTTAGGTACCGAAATCTTTGGTCCAGGACTTAAGGACTTGTATTATCCAAGTAACAACTTAGACCCGTATCTGAAAGATAAGGATGTATGTTGTTTAATTGAGTTCTAATACATGCTTCAAACTCCTTGATCTGCTTTGCTGCCTCGACTAACAACTAGAATATTCCAATTTAAATATTAGGACTATGACTCTGAGGAGGAAGAGGACACTGCTATAAAACCAGATGATGCCGTTATTGTTTGTGCGCGTAATGAAGATGATGTCAGTCACCTTGAGGCATGTAATGGTTATTTTGAGAATGATAAATCTTTTTCATGTATTTGTCACGTTTTTAATCTGATTATCGATGATTTTTAATATTGAATTCTTCAAACAGATATGGATATTGGAGGATTCTACAGATAATGAATTGAACATGTATGTTCACCATGATATCATAATTCCAGCATTCCCTCTGTGTACAGCGTGGCTTGATTGCCCTCTTAAAGGAGGGGAGAAAGGTTTGATACTATAGCGTATGGGTTAAAAACCTATAATTTTTATTATACCCCACCTCTCTAAAAAACCTGTATAATTGAATGTAAGCATCATGTCTTTTGTGTGATTGTAGGCAACTTTATGGCTGTGGGCTCCATGGAACCAGCCATTGAAATTTGGGACCTTGACATTGTATGTTTTTTGAGGGATTTTCTGTACACATTTTTGTGTGCATATATTACTATTATTATTATCATCATTCTTTCTTCATTGTCTTTGTGAATAGATAGATGAAGTTCTACCATCTGTTGTCTTAGGAGGCGTTTCTGCAAAAAAGAAGGGGAAAAAGGTGCTTCCCATATGAATTAATTTCTCCATCACATTTATTTACGACTATTCAACAACTATTAGGGTCCTTTTCTGCCATTTATCGCATATTTTGTGCACGCACTATTTCTCATTTAGTTTTTCATAATCATCTCCTGACCTATGTGTCTAGCACTCTAGCTACCCTAACCTTATCACTGATGATAAATGCAGTTATACCTTTTTAGATTGATGAGCATCAGCTAGACTTATTTTTTCTAATAATTTAATTAATTTATTTAGAATTTATTTTATTTACATATCTACTCCCTTCATCCCACTCACAACTCTTCCTCCTTTACTTTTGAAGTAAAAGTTCGTTAACATTGACACTTAATTAGTTTTTTTAAACTTATAACATGAAAGTACTATGAAGTATCAAACAATTTTTAATGTGCATTATTGCAATAATTATTTACTATGGATTTCATTTATATATAATTATAAATAATACTCCGTAATTGTCAAAGTCATTGTCAAAGATTGACATTGCAGACCTAAAAGTTTAAGTGGAGTAACCGAGTAAGTGTATTCCTTTTTACTTTTTTTGCTGAAAGAGTGAAACACAGAAAAAAGGTGGGTTATGGCACACTAACTTTGTGCAATGTATTACCTCAGTGAATTATATTTCTTTAGTGATACGCTTCCTCCATCCCAAAAGTTTCTTCCCATTTCCTTTTCATGTTGTTATTCTTCCATTCCTTTTTACAGTAACAGCAACCGTGCAAATTTACTTTACTAATAAACATGCCAAATCAAACTGGTAAGAAATTATTGGGATGAAGGGATAATTTTGATAACATTGTTTCATACTTTCATCTGGCACAGTGAAAACCTTACTTTGGCTCACCCCTTAAGTTCTAGCGACTAATAGTTTAAGTTCGGTAAATGGTAAATCCAAATCCGAACAGAAGTTTTTAGGATTGGTTTGGTTGTTGGATGTGTAGTTGGCAGGTTCTGTTGACAGATTAGAGTATGTGTCATTAGGTTCTATCCATTTATGTTGAGCTATTGATAAAGCCTCTTACAAAGTTGACATGTTTTTTTATTTCAGAAATCGATCAAATACAAAAAGGGCAGCCACAAAGATTCAGTACTTGGCCTTGCTTGGAACAAGGAGTATAGGTATTAGAAGAGTTTTATATGTTACTTATCGTAGTTACCAATCATTTACCTGAAAAATGTTTTATTTTTATTGTTCCTGTTGTCATTTTATGCAGAAATGTTATAGCTAGTGCTAGTGCTGACAAATCAGTCAAGATTTGGGATGTGTCAACAGAAACATGTAATCTCACTATGAAAGACCATGATGACAAGGCAAAGGACATTAAATTTATACTTGTTAGCTTACAAATATATAAGCATGACATTTTTCTTTCTCTGATTACCTATGTGTTGTTTCTGCAGGTGCAAGCAGTTGCGTGGAATCCATTTAAGCCCCAAATTCTTCTTTCCGGATCATTTGATCGTTCTGTTGTCTTGGTTGGTATTTGGCATTTGCCTCTGAGAATGTTATATTCTTTAATTCCCATTTCACTCCATAGCTAGATAAAAAAATCATTTATTTTCAAATTTCCTTCATTGTGAAAGAGATATAATGCATGTTGCAGAAGGATGTAAGGCAACCATCTCATGATGGATTTAAGTTTTCAGTGGCTGACCAAGTTGAGAGCTTGAAATGGGACCCCCATGCCGAGCATTCGTTTCTGGTTAGTTCCAGACTTCCAGTTATCTTTCTCATAAATAATATTAGTTCTGACCGGGGTTTTATTCTTTTTTTATTTTTATTTAAATTAAATTATTTATTTCAGGTGAGTATGGAAAATGGAACCATAACTAGTTTTGATATTCGGATGGCTGCTGATCCCAATTCTACATCAAAGATGAAACCAAATTTCACCCTTCATGCTCATGACAAAGCAGTTTGCTCCATTTCTTTTAACCCATTGGTGCCAAATGTATGTACAACATTTTATTTCTTTTAGATGGGTCATGGATGTGTAAATGCCTAATTAGTCCATTAGCTTCTGAAGTGATCTAATTTTACTTGTTTATTTATATATTGGTAGCTTATTGCAACAGGCTCCCTAGATAAAACGGTATTCAACTCTTCTCCTGTCTCCCTAATTAGCTCTATATCTCTAACTGTTTCTGGTAAGATTCTGATGGAGACCAACCAACTGCAGGTAAAATTATGGGATTTGTCCAACAATCAACCTTCATGTCTTGCCACGAGGAATCCCAAAGCGGTATGTGCATGTGTTATTGTTTTTATTTGAAGAAAGAATTAGTTGTACCTTAACTACCTTCATGTGAAGGTAAAACTATTTAGCCACTTTTTTTCGGACGGAAACATGACCAACCACCACTTTGCTTTTGCCAGGGGGCTGTATTTTCTATTTCCTTCTCAGATGACTGCCCGTTCTTGCTAGCTATAGGCGGCTCTAAAGGAAAGCTTGAGGTGGGTATTAATTTGGAGTACTATGTTCCGTTTTCATGTTTCATTTGTCTGTTCCCCTGTTCTCCATTTCCTTGACTTGCACTATGATATACGGAGTATTAGGTAATGATTTTCTGTTGAGCGTATCAACAATCCACTTATAAATAATGAATACGCAGATGTGGAATCTTTCAACTGAAGATGCTATCGCCAGGGAATATGATCAGTATGTTCGCACAAGCTTTAAATCTAAGCAGTAATTTTAATGGATTTTGAAATCCATTTCTTGTTTTATGTATCGATGTGAGCCTGCCAAACTTGCTAGGTTGTAAACAATTTTGTAGACGAGGACACTTCATTTTATTAGATTATACAGAGTGCTATATGTCTATATGAATTCACACACTTGCAGCCTTGCAGGTGTCCTTTATGACCCTTTTTTGTCCATAGCTCGGGCCTCGGTGCAAAGAAACTTCTCCCTTTCTCATTTAAACCAACCTTTTTGCTGCGAGGCTAAACTGAATTACTGAATAGGCCAATCCGTCTGTCACGATTTACCTATTTACGTGAGTATAAGCCAAAGTTGTTTTTTTGTAACATAAACAATACTCCTTAATAGGGACTGAAATAGTGTAGGGGATTTAAAACAAAAATTCTAGCTACCTTATAAAAAATGTCATATTTGAAGAGTCATTAACGAGACTGAATAAGCTATTAACTCACAAGAATAACGGTACTTTATACGTTGCTCAAAAAGGTGGGAGTATGTGGATGGGTGATTTATATTGCCTCTCACCAACACTTCAATTTTTATTATTTCAAAATCACATTACTTTTCGAACATTATTATTAATTTTTACTATTAATCACTTTACATATACTCTAATTAATGGCATCTAAAAAAGTAGAAACTTTACATATACTCTAATTAATGGCATCTAAAAAAGTAGAAGTAAATGCGAACCCTCCTTGATTCCACGTGTATTCAATGTTTTAATTGAACATACATTAGACATGGATTCCATGACTCCATCTAGGATTTATTTCCAAAGAGTAATTTAGTGTGTTTAAAGAATTAAGATTAAAGCTGAGTGTTGGAACATAAAAGGAAAAAAGAAACAAAAAAAAATAGGCATGCTTGAACCATGGTTGTACCTTCATTCTTTAGAGGCAATCACAACAGTCAAGAATACAGATGGACACAAATAAAAATAGCACAGATCAGGATGATACATTAGAACTTGGACACTAAGTGGTACAGACAGCTATGGTTCAAGGAATTGTTGCTTTCACAGTTTCACATGCAACATAAGTGATACATCCTAACAAAGAATTGTTTCTTCTTCTTTTATTGCAATGTTCTCATCTAGCTTTACTTTCAGTAGTTTTCATTTGTAAACCATCCCTTGAAAGACAGAAGTCAAGATTTGCATCCATGTTAAAAACCTAGCTTGGAACTTTTTTCCCTGTTGTTTTTATGTCTTGGCAAATCAGAACCATTTAAATGAAAACTTCACATTTTCTTCCGAGACCTAAAGAACAGTGTCGGACTGTTTAGAAATGGCTGCTCATATCACTAAAGAACGGTGTCGAACTATTTTGGAATGTCTATTCAAATCACACTTCAAAAGAAGGGTTCATAATTCAGATTTTGGAATGTCTATTCAAATCACACTTCAAAAGAAGGGTTCATAATTCATATATGAGCAATGTGGAGACTATAAAGGAAGTTGTATAGACATGATTCAAGCCCCAGCCTAGCTACTACAATACTAATCAAGCTCTGAGAAGCAAAACTATTTTATAATATCAGTCAACTAGATATACAGAATATGCATCATATGTAGCACCTTATAAATCATGTTTGTACTACAAGAAAATACCTTGAGTAGAGAAAGAGCTTATAGAGTATTTGTGCAATTCGGCCTGCTTGGAAACAGTGGTTAGGAAGGATCACATGTTAAGGCATAAGCTTTGAACTGAATTTAAATGCATAATTCCAATACATATTAAGATTATAATGCACAATGTATCCTATCATTAACATATTTCCTCCTGTATAACCTATAATTAATTAGTGGTTATTGATAAGCATTTCATGGGGGTGGAATGGCATGTTATGTTGGTACGATAATCATCTCTAAATTATAATCAATCCATGGAGATCAACCCAGAATTTGGTTTAGTACGATGAGTCTATGATGTTGTACTTCTTCCATTCTTTTTTAATTGCACCATGTTTCAATTTATTGCGCACTACTATTCTGAACATTAATATATTTCTATTACTATAAATTATGAAAAATGATACGTAGTATGTTGGAAATATACATTAAGACCATTTTCACTCTATTTACATGATATGATTTTTATAATACAATGAAAACAAAACATGATAAGAGTATGCATGGACCCGAGCCGGGCCTAGGCCCGGTTGGGCTTTAGGGGTTTGGGGGTAGGCCCGTAACCGGCCCGGGCCGGGTCCGGTTCATTTTTTTTGTTTTCTTAATTATTCATCCCCATCCCCCCATCCCCCAAACCCATCGAAAACAACCAGCCCAGCCCATTTAAACCCAACCCAATCAAAAAAGGAAAAAAATGGGAAAACAGTCAAATAGGCCCCCCTACTATTCCAAAAAAGTCAATCAAACCCCCCAACTTAAAAACACCCAATCAAACCCTTAAACTCAAAACAAAAAATGTCAAATTAGCCCTTTAGCATGTGGCCTCCTAGTTCCCGGTAAACTGCTCATGTGTCATGTGAGGTGGCTTTTAAAAAAATCCTCTTTTCTTTTCATTCTCTCTCACGTATCTGGCCAACAACATGCGCAGGTGTTCATTCTTCCTCACAACTCGCAGCTCCACTTCTTGCCTCTACAACTCACAGGTGTTGTAGACAAGCTCTGGTTCTATCATGGAGACGGTGAACGGCGGAGACGGCGAATAGCGTCGGAGACGAGCTTGCGTTTGACTTTCGCTGTTGCCGGAAAGGGGTGGTCCCTCAAGGTTGCTCGCAGGGACGGATCCAGGATTTTGAGTCAAGGGAGGCGAATGTTTTTTGTTAGTCTAGGGGTGAAAAATTTTCCGCTAGTGTGTTGGGGCGAATTTTTTTCACTAGTGCAGTGGAACGAAATTTTTTCCCTACTGCTGCTATTTTTTATTCAACTTTTTATTATTATTAATATACATACACAACAACATTCAAATCTATTACTTTCTATATTTAGACAATGGAAAAATAACTTTGATTTTATTATTGAAGTGTTCTAGAAGAAAGTATTGATACATTAAAGCATATGAAATGACCATTCAAAGGAAAATTATTTGAAAATAGAAAAAGATATATAATATTTTATCAAATTATTTGAATATAAAAATTTTAAAGCGTATACATCCACCAATACTTTTTAAATAACTTATTCTTTGTTTAATCACATGAATCTTTTCGGAATAAATGATTGATTTTTGAGCTGCAATTTTTGTCTGCTTATGAGTCACGAGAAGTTTTCTTAATATTACAATAATATGTATGAGATTATTATTTTTAGAATAATATTATATTGTAGATTCATATATATGGTGCATATTATATTTGTATTAATGCTAAAATAATCAAAGTTTATTAGTTATACAATAAACTGTTTTTAGAAAGTAAGAAGTAAATCAATTGTGTAATTTAATGTTAAATGTTATCAACAAAAATTTATCACTTTCCTTTCCAATTTCCTTTTTACATCACTTTTATTTTGAATAAATACCGAGTAACAATTTTTTTCATTTGTCTTTCACTACATTCTCACTCGTGCGATTCACGAGCATGAATTAAATAATATATGGTGCAATGCATGAATTAAATAATATACTCCCTCCGTCCCAGGGAGAAGTTCCCGGGTTGACTTTCACACATATTAAGGAAATAAAGTTACTGAGGGGTAAATTTTACTGTTTGGCACTGTTTCAACACTGTTTGGCACTGTTTCGACACTGTTTGACACTGTTTTACACTGTTTGACACTGTTTTACACTGTTTGGCACTATTTTGATGTAGGATAACTTTCCATTTAGGAAAATGGGAACTTTTTGTTGGGACTACCAAAAAAGGAAAATGAGAACTTCTCCCTGGGACGGAGGGAGTATGATGCAAGGGCATATATTAAAGAAGTGTTATGATTATTAAAAGGAATTATTAAAAAAGATGAGTTCATGTGGTTGATTTGAATTGATAAAGTAAAAATGAAATAAAAAGAATTTAGAATCACACAAACTTACCAATTTTGATATGATGCAATCAATCTTTTTAGGACGGATAAAAAAATAGAGATCAGACGATATTAGCGGACATAGTGAGCATTATTTGTTGACAATCTTAGTTAATGTGTAAACAAATGCAAATAGTATAGAATGTAATGCACATACAAAATTTTAATCAAAGAAGAGATAGTTACAACTCATAATTGGTATTGGTATGAACTATGAAGTGTACTTTTTTGTAATAAGAAGCAAGAAATAAATATTACAATAAGGTTTCCGTTTCTACTCATTTCGAAACACTTCAATTCTTTGTAAACAACTAGATTCTCACCCGCGCGATGCGCGGGATATTAAAATGTAATAGTGATACGACAATTTTTAAATGTTATTTGGTTGTGTGAAATGAAAGGAAATTGTGATATATGTAACATGCATAATAAATTATAATTAATGATCGGATAATGAAATCTCAAAGTTAGGTATTAAGTATGTTTTGGAATAAATAGGAAAAAGTAAACGTTAATAGGGTTTCACAATCTACACATTACGAAAAACATCATTATAAACTACATTGGTGGTATGGTCAGTTGGCTGACCATATTCATCACAGATCAATATTTTCAAACCCTTAGGATTTATTACCCTTGGCACTGCAAAATACAGTTGACCACATGTGAAGACCAACTTTTTTCAATAAAAGCCCAACATGAGACAAAGATTGTCCGTGACTTTTATTTATAGTCATCGCATAAGAGGGCTCATTGGAAATTGTCTTCTCTAAAACTTGAAAATATGATCGAATAGCCAAATTCAATTATTGTTTAAATAATCGTGACGTTTTATAATGAAAATCTCTAAGAAGAATGGAGGTAGCAATAATTTTGATACCAATAATTATTAATTAATTAATTAATATAATTAATAATAACAAAATTAAGCTTATTTTATGCGAAGTATAATTTTAAAACCACATAAATTCATAATTTGAATTTATAAAAAAAGAATATTATTAACTAACTAAATAAAATTATAAACCCTTAGCAAATACTACCTCCGTCCCATTTATATTGTCCCGGAAGAGGGTGACACAGTTATTAAGAAAAGTGGGTTTGTGTGGTTGATATTACGTACTACCTCCGTCGCTCTAAGTTTGGGACAAAGGGGTGTGGTGTGGTTTCGAAGAAAAAGTAGAATTGTGTGGTTGATATTGAATTGATAAAGTGTGGGGACAAAGTTAGGGGGACGGAGGGAGTAGTAATTGATAAAGTAAGAATAATTTAGAGCCACACAAACTTTTCCAAATATGATATGTGACAATTTAAGTGGCATTTTCCGAAAAGGTAAAACGGGACAATATAAATGGGACGAAGAGAATACCTATTTGTACATGCCAATTTTGCAACCCAATGAAATCAAACATAATTTAAATTTATGGCCCAATTAAATCCAACTCAGCCCAAAACCT